TCTAATGAGCTCAGCACAAATACCTGTGAAAGTTACCTACTATACTAGTACTCTTCTTTCGAGGAATTTCATTCCTTCCAAATTCCTCTTTCTTATACCTTTAGCCTTCCCGCATCTTTGACGCCCGCTTCTAACATTCCCAAGTGCAGAATGCAACCGTCTTCATCGATAAGCCAGCCCCAAAGCTCTTCACAAAGTCAGTCACAGACCAGAGTTTTGTCCTCCATAGGCAACCCCGACTTCGACAATATGGAGATCAGCGGAGCCAGCGACTTCAGCGATGATAGCGATGTCGGCTCCAGTGCCTTCAACTTCAGCAACCTTGACCCCTGCGACAGTGGCCACAGCCACTTTCCAGTTCCTGGCCAAGGTACTGGGAATCAGGAGACGATAAGAGGACCATCATTGGAAGTCTCAAGTCCGTCGAATTTTCCTCTGCTCGGGCTACCTTCCGAGCTACGTCTGCTGATCTACGAAGCCTTGATCGCGGCCGGAGACCTCAACATTATGAGGACAAACAAGCTCGTACACAAAGAAGCGGAGAACCTGTTGAAGAAGAACGCTGTGCTCCGGATGAACTTTGGCTACGCCAATCGAACATCTTCGGCCTCGTTCCCGCTGACAGGGAACCTCAACTTCACAGGTGCTCTCAAAATCCACGCTACCCCAACTATCCAGCATGTTGAACTTCAATTTAATTTGGCCGCCTTCCAAGGAGATTACTTTGACGTCTACACAAACATCATCAAGTCCTTCGGCGGCAGAGATGTTGCGCGCCAAACGTGCACCATCTATCTTGATATCGCAGTTTACGACAGTGTTCCAGACGAAGGGACCTTTGCACGAGAGACCGCGTGGCACGCTATCACCGATCTTACCGGGTTCAAGACATTGGTTGTGAAGATCAGGCGTCAGAGGGACTACAGATTTGAGGAACAATGCCTGCGTCGGCTGGGACATTTATTACCCCAGACTGGGGACAGCTACCCTCACAAGTGGCTCTTGGATGATTACCAGACTCTTTGTGAGATCTTGAAGATCACGCTCGGACCAGCGATTCAGGACAAGAGCCTCAAAGGCCATCATTTAAAGTTCCATCCAAGCGACTTCAAGCCCGAGGAGAATGGTCCAACAGATAGTGCAACACGAGAGCGCTATTGATGATGCGTGGGAGATGGGACAATGGAATAGCAGGAACGGTTTCTCTGGGCGTTAAGGCTTTTGTTGAGGACATTCTAGCTACTAGTAGTTCACAGCTCCTACTAATTACGGGTTACTCGCCAGATATCTTTGAGTACGAGACTTAGAGCAAGGACACTGGAGACGGACTAGAACCCTAATGAACATACAAATTTTACAGACATGATGCTTTTCCTGGGTTACAGATCGGTACCCTCTCTCTTCCCATTCTCATACACCGCGCGATTGTACGCTTCCTTCTATATGTTTCACGGAGTAAAATGATACATCGTAAGCGCTGCCAGTTGTGTGGAACTTTTCCGAATGCAACTTTCAACACACCAATCACTGTGGACACATATACGAGCTCCTTGTGAAGTCCACATTGAGATCTGTTGACACCTTGCTTACCATGACACAGCCACCCCTTGTACGTGTATAAATAGCCCACACTGCTTGCTTTTCCTTCGACCGTTCCAAATCTACCCTCAAAAGTATTTCACTGGGAAGCCAGTAAACAATACAAAACAACATGTCTTCCACCAACAACAGCTCGCCAACGCCCATCACGCACACCGGGAAGGCATTGGTGGAGAACAACCTCCTATTCCAGCCATCAAAGCGAGATATCTTCCCCTGGCTCCACCTACCCCGCGAGCTCCGCGATACAATCTACCGCCATTCCATCACGGCCGGCAACCTTGCCATCCTCCGAATCAGCAAGCTGGTCACCGAAGAGGCATCCCAGCTCCTACCAAAGCATGCCGTCCTCCGACTCAACCTCGCCCCGTTCGACCCCACAGACTGGGACCACGGCGGGAACTGGGCGCGTTTCGCTCCGGCCGTAGGTTCCGTCCCGCGCGTGGAGTTCCGCCTCGACTGCAACTCGGGCGCCTTCCCGTTCAACGTCGATCTCATCTCAGGCTTCGCTGGCGACGGGGCCACCCGAGAGTCCTGCGTCGTCACGGTCGATTACGGCAAAGAGGCGTCCCCTCCCTATACCATGGATCGCGATAGACTCTACCTCCAGCTCGCACGCCTCACTGGTTTCAAGCGCTTGGTGTTCAAGATCGTGGTTGGGAGATACCAGGCCAGCGAGTTCGAGGGGCTTCTTACCGAAGAGCAATTCCGAGACGTCTTCCCCTATGAGTCGAGGCTGGTGTCGCACCATAGGGAGGGCTATCAGAATGTGCAGAGGTTTTTGGAATGCAGCTTGGGACCAGCAACGTTCGATGATAGCGTGGAGGGTCATCATCTTGAGTTCCATCCTCTTGAGCCCGTCCCCGAGGATTGGAATCGGGTGTATGTGGACTTTGATTGAGGGTGATGCTGAGGGATATGTTGTTCTCATGTTGGAATGATGCTGGGCGGAAGAGAAGCTTTTTGAGAGATTGGAGTGGGGTCGCGATGACATGAGAAGATTTACATTTTGATTGCTGACGGGGATCTCATTTGCTGCTGTATACTATATCCCAGACACTATTTATTCAACAAATTCCTGTTCACTGACTGATGTGCGCCCGCACTCAATGCATAAATTGACCCTTGACCATCTTGCACAATTCTCTTCAGGAAGCAATCGTAGTCCCAGCGATTTCCAATTCTGCGTTGATGACTGAACGCATTTACGCACTCTTGAATCAAACCTCTTATTGATCTGGTCCTACTTAGCATAGAACGCCATTCAATTCGTGGAAGAAACAACGGGTTTGGTCGCGAAAGGAATCAAAACGCTCAGCAGCTTCAAAACCGTGATGGTAGACACGGCCTACAGCTGGAATCACGAATACAGTATTTCGGACCCAGCATTCACGTCAGGTTCGACGAGGGATGAGATTGGAGACGGAAATGGGAGCGAGCTCGTTCTCAAAGGGAAAAGGTCGCCCTTGTATGGTCTCCTGTCCGCTGGATGATGGATGTAATTACACTGTTTTGCGGTTGTGTGACAACGGAATGGGAGATTGGACAGACTGGGCTTGGCATGTAATGGGATTGTGGCGGATCTAGAGACTTTGATGGAACGGGCGCGGTGTCTCGATCATTATGTGGCCTCTGAGCTGTTGGGGAGTTTGTGGGCAGAGGGGTGCTTTTGGTTTGCTGGTGGGGTGGGGTGTATAATCCTGCTGGGACAGATGGGATGATTGGCGTGTCGAGTGATAAATGCTTGCTTGGAAATACGCGGATGAGAGTGACGGGGTGCAGTCGAGAGCTATCAATTTGTATGGCTGTGGCAGAGACGGACGGTTGATCTCGCCGCGTAGGAATGAGTGTATCAAGAGGTCAGACAGGCCGAACTACAAGAAGTAGACACGCAAACGCAATACGACACATTCAACAAGATTCCATCATCCAGCATTTCCCCCCTTCCCCTCCTTTCGGTCAAGCCTTTACAATCTCCCTCACAATCCCCTCCACCACCCCCCTCACACTCACCTTCCCGTTCAAAATCTCGAAGACAGTGACATTAGCCCCGACCTCCTTCCGCAACCAATTCCGAATCTCAACCGCCACCAGACTGTCAACCCCGTGTCCCGCAATCGTATCCTCCTCATGCACGTCCTCCACCTTCAGCGCCAACAACCGCCCCAGCTTCTGCTTGAACGCCTCCAGTATCACCGACAGCAGCCGTGCGCTGTCGTGACCGGCGGCCGCCATCTGCGATTCCAATGATCGCGTTTGGGCTTGTGATTCGCGCCCCTGCGAAAGGCCGCCCGCGAGGATGGCGCCGACGTGCGAGAACCGTGCGTCAAAGGCGGGGTAGTCCTCGATACCGACCGCGACTTGGGCTGCGGCCCTGCCGGAACCCGCGCGCACGTGGTGTTCGATCAGAGCCGTGAGGTCTTTGACGCGGATGTCCTTGGCCATGGCTAACACGCCGCGCGAAACGACGTCCTGGTTCTGCGCGACCCATCCGGCATCGACGACTTTGCCCACATCAATGGATAGAGCGGGTAGGCCGTGTGATGCGCGGTGGTGGGCTAGAGCGTCTTGGAATGTGTTGCCAGCGGCGTAGTTGGACTGCGACGCATTACCGAGGAGGCCACATAGGGAGGAGAGCATGACGAAGAAGTCGAGTTGGTCTGAAGACTGCGAGAAGAGATCGTGCAGATTTTGCGAGCCGCGGATCTTGGGATCGAGGGCTTGGTTGTATTTGGTAAGGGTCATATTGGGGAAGATCGCGTCCTGAATGAATCATGTCAGCTAAGCGCTTGCTTGTTCTGTTGGGAGGAAAGGAGAAAGGTCAGGGCCCACCTTGAGGACCATAGCACCTTGGACCACGCCTCGAATTGGCGGTAAGGTCTGAGCGCAATCATGAAGCACTGCTGAAAGGCTTTCTCTATCTGCTACATCGCATTTACGCACTGTGATAGTGACGTCTGGCTTTCTTAGAGCCTCGACGGTATCTACTGCTCCTGCTGCGTCCATGCCAGATCTTGAGATTAGAATGAGGCTCTGAGCGCCTAGCTCATTTACCATCCATTTGGCAATCTCTACACCAATGCCGCCAAGTCCGCCGACAAGGAGATACGAGGCGTCAGCACGAAGCTGGAGAGGTGGCGGTAGTTGAGGGATAACCTGCGTCTCTTTGTCAGCAGCAAAACGAACATCCGCTTTTTTACGTACTTTAACAAGGCAATCTCTGTCAGCTGTGACAACAATCTTGCCCATATGGTTTCCCGAAGACATGAACCTGAACGCTGGCTCAACCTCCGACATGGGGAAGATAGTGATTGGTTCCAGTGGAGTCAGAGTGCCGTTGGCGAATAGATCCATGACTTCTTGTAAAACACTGCCAACGAATTCTGGTCGGTGGTTGCCAAAATGATCCCAACCCACGGAAATGAAGCTGGCCGATCTCTCGAAAGGCGCCATGTCGAGTCTACTGTTATCCACGGCGTCTCTCTTACCTAGTTCTATGAATCGTCCAAACATAGCCAAGCACCTCCAGCTTTCGCGAAGGGCGTCTCCCGCCAAGGAGTTAATTATGACATCAATCCCTTTGCCTTTCGTCAGGGCCATGATTTCGTGCCTGAAGTCGAGAGTCCTCGAGTTCAAGATATGGCTTGGGGGTAGACCAAAAGCCTTTTCGAGAAAGTCCACCTTGGCTGGCGACCCTGCAGTGACGAAGATCTCTGCGCCCACAAGCTGCGCCATTTTGATACAAGCTTGACCTATACCACCCGCCGCGGAGTGTATCAAAATAGACTCATTTTTTCGCAGGCGGGCCGCGTGATGAATGCAATAGTAGGATGTCGTGAACACAGACGGAATAGAAGCGCCAACCTCGAAAGTCATATTGTCCGGCATGATCCTGACGAGGGTTTGAGGTGTTCTGACACGATTGGCAAAGCTAGAAGGGGCGATTGCGCAGACTCTGTCACCGACCTTAAGATGATGCGCTGCCTTCCCAATTTTGGTAATGATACCTGCGCATTCAACCCCGTATCCGTTCGGATCGGGCAGCTGAGCCGTTGCGATAAGGAGATCGTGAAAGTTGAGACCGACCGTCTTGACCTCAATCTCGACTTCGTCAAGTTGTATTTCACCTGAGCATTTTTCGGAGTGGACGAATTGGAAAGTATCCAGAAGCCCAACCTGGCCCATATCAAGACACAGGCAGCTATGCTCTTGCCATAGGCATTGTTCTTCTGGCTCGCGTTTTGAGGGCAGTGTCATCATAGCTTTATTGGCAAGCTTATCCTCCACAAGTCTAGGGATCATTATTCGCCCGTTCCATATGGCATATTCGAAGTCCTTCGGCGAGAGATCCATGGTGGACTTGCTGAATGCCTTTGCAAAAACCTTAGAGATGGTTTGAGCGAGCTCTGGCTTAGAGAAGTCCTCGGCTTCTACGTCGCACGCAACATAGTTCATGCCACCATTCTCTGACCGTAGTGTTCTGAGAATGCCCGAAACAGCCCCAGCGCCTGCGTTTTTGCCATTACCTGAGCCGCCAAATGTAATCCATAGGACGCCTTTGGCTTGGGCAAAGATTGATTTGAGAATCTCGAGCTTTCTCTCATTAAGTTCTAGAAGAAGAGAACCACTTGCATGATCAACAACGACGATAAGCTGCTCCAAAGGATCGGTCTCCGATAAAGCCGAGATCAGAGGTCTGGTGCTCGAGAATCTATCGACGTTCTTGGCCAAGATATTGACAAGGTCTCGCTCTTGGGGTGTGTCGTATATGATACGAATGTCGAAGGGATCAACCCCCGAATTACCGCTCTCTTTCGTTGAGATCATGGTCGACATGGTCCACAATTGCTCATCTAAGCTGTCTCGGAGACAGATATCAAGCCCTGAATACCCAGTACGCTTCAGCAGAGATGCCCATTGCCCTTCCGAGAGAAGTGGGCTGTCTGTTCGCCCTTCGGTAACGCCTGCAAAGAGATCAGCACTATTGAGGCAAAGATAATCTACCGCTTACCCATCCACCATCCCGGAAGCAGTCCGAAGATGAGTTCCCCGTATATCCGGCGACCTGCGAACGCCTCCACCAGAATAAGCTTTCCGTTTGTCTTGAGCAGCCTATTTACTTGGCTCATGGTGTGATGCATGTTGTGAGTGGCGTGTAAAACATTAGCAGCGACTATGATATCGTACCCTTCGCTCTCGTCAAATCCTTGCACTTTCAGATCATCTTCAATGTTCAGTGGCTTATAAGAAATAAGACTTCCCCAGGCTTTGAATTTAGTCTGAGCTTTTTCAAAAAAGCCAGTCGAGATATCGGTGAAGACGTAGGTTGAGAACTGGGGATAGTCGTTATCATATCCACCGAGCGCCTTCAGAATGAAAGACGTAGCACTCCTGTTAGATCATTTAAATCAGCTTCTAGGGTTGCTGTGTGCAAAAGAGGTCCGAGATCTTGCAAATCAATATAAGCTGGTCCCACTAGCACCGTTTCCCCTCTCGCAAAATAACATAGACCTGAAAGGATTAGCCAAGAGATCACGTACCCAGTACCAGCTCCAATTTCAAGGACCCTCAACTTAGGGTTTTTGTGAGCAACCAGCCCCACGAAGCGCGCCGCTTGCTCATAGACACGGTCTTGGTCTGGGCTCTCCGCGTAATATCGGTTCAGCAGATCATCTTCAAGCATTAACGAGAGCGGTTCTACCTCTCCTCTTAATACGTCCAAGAGCCTACGTCCCACACGAGTCACCATGCAGCCTTGAGCGCCAGAGGCAGCCGCTTGTTGTAGAGTACTCTCAACAGTATGTTCGTCAGTAGAGGACCACTCTTGTTGATGACAATTCTTTTGAAAAGGTAAGTTGCCGTTCTGTCCCAGCTCCATTTTTTTCTTCATCCAATTGTAGT